ATTGGATTCATGTGTAACAAAGTAAAAGCACAGATATAGCATAATGTATGTAGGGTGATGGTTTAGTCTCAATAAAAATATTGAAAACCTAGTACTAGTGTTAAACTGATATGATGTGATGTGATGTCATGATGCGATGCGATGCGATGCGATGCGATGCGATGCGATGCGATGCGATGCGATGCGATGCGATGCGATGCGATGCGATGCGATGCGATGCAATATGATACGATATGATATGACACTATACTATACGAGACGATACGATAAGATACAATGCGATAAGATACGATACAATACACCTACTAACACAGAACTAATTAAAACTGAARAAAGTGCGGGCCAGTGATAATCGTGAACGGTCACATTTTTCTATTGATTCTGTTACGGTAACTATTTTAGTTCGGGTTTCGTGTTACCGAATGTCGGGGTGGACTAGCTTCGGTAGTATAGCGACTCGAATTGCAGGGCCCGTAATCTGAACTTTTACCCTACGAGACGGCACGAGACTTGGACACAGAGCACGGAGTAAAATTCTGGTTTAAATCTTGCTTTAATCTTGTAATATCAAGCTAGCACTCGCTAGGTGGTCTCTAATCTTACAATGTGTTGTAGCTCTATTTATGTAATTACAACTCCTTTGTTTATARGTCATATTACATAATTGATTGCTAGAACTATAACGCGTAAAACTCAAAAACCAATCACTTTGATAATAGCAAAAATGTCATAARATGAGGTAACATACGCAGGAGATTATTGGCTGTAACTAGAAAGTTAAGTAAAGCGTACAACTGGTACAAGTAACTTTTCATCACTTTCGATTCCTGGTCTTAACGCTTGTTTCCAGGTAGTTAACGGTGAGATCAGCGATTCTTACTATCGTGACTAAAATAGTGAATTATAGATTACTTGCAACAGGTGTCCTTTTAGAAAAACTCTAACTTAACCTGCTAGGTAATATCGTAATATCGTGACACAATGTTTTTCCTAATATCGCCAATTTAAACAATAACTAACTGATTTGTGTCCTTAAACAATTTTGATGAATTTTCTCCCGTTGACAATTCTATATCGGTTAAAGGGCGTTCTTTCCGAAATGCTATAAACATCTAGACAGTCATTTCTCAACTTTGAATAGAAATWACTGATGACGATATCATGCATCAGTTTCCTTGACATGRTGATTTTCGGATACAACGTTCATTCGTCCTCTCGTGATTCACTTGCTTTCTTACCATAAAGTWTCTTGTAAAATATTAGTAGAAAAACGTCCACATATCTATTCACTTATCCATCACTGACGCTCATTCTTACTTCTAAAGAAGACACAGGCTCCACCTGCATGGATACATCTATAACAGCYACTCCTTACTATACAGACAGCAGTAATGTATTCCGGATGACGTTGAGGTTATCTAGCCTTATCCGATGTTTTCTATGAAACCACTACATAGCAATGAGGCTGTTTAAAATTGAATCGAGAAGTATAATTATAATCCTTAGAAGTTTGTAGCATTGATTTTATAAAAAATGGATAGCTTAAAAAATGCTTACGCTTAAAAACAACTCGTTGCAGGCATGTGTGGATTAGAACTTTCTGTTTTATTGATAGTCTTTTCACGCTTATTCCTTCTGAATTTAGAAATTAAATTTCATACAAAGATCATTTGTGATCAGCGCGCTTATTTACCGCTTTTATTCTAATGAATGAAGGTACCGTGATATTACGGTCGAAAATGATGAAAACTAAAGGTCTAACTTCCGCCTCCAGCCAATCGAACAGTRAACTATAGAGCAGACGCGCTTAATCCTAGACTCGATAGCCATCCTTGCTAATAATATCAATACAGAAGTAATAAAAGAGTTCCCTCTCGCTAAGCTATATTATAAGWTATGAAGAAAAAGAAAAAAACACTAAGAAAACAACAACGACAAATTAAGTGAATCATTTGACAAATCTTTCATGTCACAACTTTTGTTCTTATTCTTCTGGATTTGTAATTTTATTTGCTTCTTTAGTTTTATTCAATACCTTTTTTGCTTTTTACTATTATTTTTTTATTCTTACTATTATTTTCTTGTATGAGCTAGTGTTCAAAAGAGTTTATATAAACATGGTTTTATGATAAGTAAATTCAGTTGAAAGTTTGTCAGAGAAAAGCAATGCCTTAATAGCCTCCAGCAACAGTCGCATTTACATCATATAGTGATATAATTATTATAGCTATTATTGTCAACTTAGTCAATTGTTCAAATATCATGTCATGACGTGAGCTTGCCCATACTCCTTGTATAGACAGGTATGCCAATGCATATTATCACGTGATGTGATTCAACATTTGAAAACACGTCACCTCAAGAGAAAATAACTGTGCAAACAAGATCTCTTGGCGTATTTTACTGACAAAGAAGGATCCAAGATCGTTTTATGGTTAAAAATATTAAATAAAAATATAAATTATAATACGTTTATTCAGAATTTTAAAAGATGTGTTTGAGTGGAACTTATTCTGAAAAGCAGCAAAAAGCRGCGCGTTTATCTGCTGGAAGAAATCTGATTTACAGAGCGCTCTATCCTTTTCTGAATTATATGTTCATTTCTTGGGCTTGTCAAGATTAACTGGATCTCGTCATTTTCCAATCAATTCCACCTTAGCTGTGCAAGAAATAGAGAAGGCCCAACCTTTCTATTTCATGTCCTTTAATACTTGAGTGCTTCTTGGATTGCATGAAAAGATACAGGAAGTATTAAATCTGAAGAAGCTTCCACTTTTATATCATGGACGGTTTTCTATACTTTTTTCAAAAGATTTTTCATTTTATGAAAACATAAATACTGTGAAAGAAATACCGTGTGAAAGACCGATGTTTATCGATCAAAGTGTATATTTCCAAAGGGCCAACAGATGACTTTTTATTTAATTTCAAAGTGACAGATATATCTTTTTTTAATGYTGATAATTCAATGACGATTTTGCTATTTTGTTTAGACCTGCGTTCGATTGTTTTCAAAACAATCTAGCTAACGCAGGTGTTTCTAAAGAAATATGACAATTAAATGGCAATTATTGATGTACTTTTAACTAGTTTCACAACGCCTTTCCTATCAGTACATCTCTCCTTTGCTTTCAGTGTCCACATATTAACAGTGTATTTCAGTCTCATGTAAACGTGCAAATTGCAATATTTCTTTTTTCCCATTRATTTATGTCACATTGTTTAAAGGTGYTTTTGTCTGCTTGAGTGTTTGTGCATTAATTTAACAGGACACAAACTCTTTTGAAGACGACTTCTGTCCTTTTCGCTTATTATCGCTGACATTCTTCAGTTTTCTCTTGAATTTTCTTTAAAAATGCATGTACAAATTTGGAGATTCAAATGAACTCTCTTATTGTTGTTGTTYTTTGTTATCATGCAAAAATGACTTGAACTATAATGCTTTACATCCTGTTTTGACGTTTAAATAATTAAATACAGCTGAGTGTTTGTCATTTATCATACCTTAATTAGCTGCAATGACAGKTGTATGTATACTAAGWACTTGGTTAATTACTTCATATATTCAGTGTCAAGTTTATTACTGAGCTTCTGCACACCCAGGTTCCATCCTTACATACGAGTCAAGAGACTCAAGAAGACACGTTTTGAAGATGGAATCTTATGTGACTCTCTTGATCGCATGTTTTTCAGTACTGTCCGTTCAGTTAACATCTCGAATAACTGAGGCCCARCAATGTCAGGCTTCAGTGGATGRAATATCTCTCTCAGGTCATGTCATGTCGACTGTTGTTGTCGATGATATCGGTAGTTGTTCGGACAAATGTGCAGCCACACCAGGATGTCAGAGCATCAATTTCTACATGAAAAGCTCACTCTGTGAGTTGAACAACAAAACAGTGGAGAACACGCCCAGCCAYAAAGTACAGAACAATCGTGCTGTGTACTTTAAGAACCCAGGTCAGTCATTAGACTTCAGAATTTGTTTTTCTTTGTTCAATTTTGCTTTTTTATAACAATATTTTACAACATTCGTCCCAAGAGCTCAAATGCTCAAATGCTAATTACAACAAGAAATATGAGAATTATCAGAATTATCAGAGAATTAAGGGAAGGACTGCCTTTAAGCGAAATATAGACTTTTTCATTTCGGTTTGACTGATTCCAGATACTGACGCACATTCGAAGATAGTCTAACAGGAAGTGAAGAATACCATCTTCATTTTTTTGCAATTGCATTTTTTGATGATGCTATTCGTAGAGAGTCCTCCCTGAGAAGCTTATCAAAATACTCCCAACAAATCAA